GAATTTTCTGACAACAATTCGCTGAACTCATCCACTTCAATAACACAATTTCAAGCCACGTATGGTACATACCCTAAGGTGTTGCCAGACCACCCCACACTGGACTCAACTGTCTCAGGGGCTGTTGTTGTCTTACAGGAGCAACTTGCTGCCCAAGACCTTTTGAAACAGAAGCTCAAGCAAGCAAAACAAGCTTATAAGAAGGCAGCAGATGCCCATCGGCAGGAAGGATCACCCATAGTAATAGGAGACGAGGTTTGGCTCTCCACCAAGTTCCTAGCCACTTCAAGACCTTCTAAGAAGCTAGATGCTAAATTTGTGGGACCTTTCAAAGTTCTCCAACAAATCAACCCTGTAGCCTTTCACCTCCAATTACCCCCATCAATGAAGGTGCTGTTCTTTCCCAGCCTATAGCTGTCCTTGTTAAATACACAAGGACAAACCCCCTTTTGAGAAATATGCTGGAGACTCAGAAGAAAACAAAAACCTCTTTTAATATTGGTAACAAACCTGCCAAATGGTCCAAAAGCAACAAAACACAATCCAAATGGAGGAAATTGTCCACACGAAACACAATGCAAAACAAGGAATTAGTCACCGGCAATACCAACAGAACATGATCCCATGAAGTACTTTGCAACGGTTGCCTTCAGCAACCAGCACCGCCCACACCTTCCCTTTTTATTAAGCAGCCCCAAGGCGTGGCTTCTCAATGCTTTCTCCTCCTCCCTTGGAGTTGCCGTATTGACTCCCTCTGACCTGCTCTAGTTAACTGCCTTCGTTTACGAGCGTCTCTAATGACTTCCAGCTGTGAGTCCTCAGAGTCTGACTCATCTTCCCCACACAGCTGTGTCTCATCCTGACCACGATTGGAGGGGCCAGGCTCTTCATCAGATTGTGACTCTTGTAACTCATCAGAGCCTCCCCCTGACTCTGATGGCTCTCCAAACCCCTCTTCCTCCTCCTCCTCTGATTCCCCGGACTCAGCTGCCAGGTCCACTGGCTGGCACGGACTCACAACAGGTGCATCCAATATTTCACCAAGCGTTACTCTCTAAAGAAGATCCCCCAAGCATAATATGATCCCAGCGCCCCCCTCCACCACTAGTCATAGTGGAGGGATAACCAGAATATGAGATGTTAGAAATCCTAGACTCTAGGAAAAGAGGCAAAGGCATCCAGTACTTGATTCATTGGAAAGGCTACCTTGTTGCAGATTGCTCCTGGGAAAACGCATGGTATGTTCATGCCCCTGATTTAGTAGATCAGTTTTACCAGTGTTTCCCTGACAAGCCACGACCGACCAAGCTCCCATCCCCCCCACCCGGTTTTGCCTGAGGAACCTGTTGAGGAAGAGGTTAACCAGCCCCACTGCATTGCTTACAGGGGGAGGCAGGACAGTTGCCTACAATGGGTCTTCTGCATCTGGCCTTCAATTCCCAGAAAGGGGAGGGGATGGAACCTCTAATGATGTTTTTCTGTTACAGCAACCATCACCTGGCTCGCTAACTCCTTCAGATGAGGGGGAGGCAGATTCCTTTGAGACTGCTTCCCTTCCACCCTTGCCAAGTTCCCATGAGAACTCAGACAATGCAGGAGGGGGAAAGCAGCATAGAACCCATGGAAGAGGAGGGGAGCCAAGGTGGAGGGATGGGTGATGTAGGAGATGACCAGGCTGAGCCTGAAGGAGGGGTCAAATGTGTCATCAGTGTCAAGTCCCTTCGCGCCTACAGGAGACCTAAGTCCAGCTCACCTTGAATTCCATTGACTCTTATCTACCACCAATTTGCTTTGACTGTTAGTAGTTCAGATTCTTGTAGAGAGCTTAAGCTTGCAATAAACCTTTATATTCAATTTAACTGACTGGATTTCCTGATTTTTCCGGCTCTTGACAGAAACTCATCATTAATTAAAGCTAACTGCTTGATGTTGGAGGTAAAACATAGGTTTGCATTGAAAGCCCATGAGACTGTCATGCAGAATCAATCCAATAATGCCATTAGGATCCCTGTGTCCCAGTGATGTCCCGGTGCCTGGAGGCCGTGCGAGTCTGGATGGGGAGGAACAGGCTTCGACTCAACCCGTCCAAGACCGAGTGGCTGTGGTTTCCGGCGTCACGACATAGCCAGTTGGCTCCATCTCTGGCTATCGGGGGCGAGTCATTAGCTCCCGCGGAGAGGGCCCGCAACCTGGGCGTCCTCCTGGATGCTCGGCTG